ATCCCACTAAAACCTTTGAAAAATCAATTCATCTTAGACTTAAGGGATCCAATTTTTCCATTTATTTAAACTAATAAAAATTACTAAAATCAAACTATCAAAACTCTTTTAAAAATCCAAACTAACGTTTATAAATTGCATCTCACTAACAAATGTTTTTTAAACTCACACACATTTCCCTATTGGCTAATATTTCACACTACTTAAGCCTTCATGCCCACATTCATTCTCGTTTGAAGATGACATACGTACCTATTGTATGTACTTAAAAGGCACGAAATGACTTTTAATTATTTTCATGGTTTGATGCCTCACACTTAAGTGTACTTTTCGATCTTTATTAACATCATCAATTCCCCTTTGGATCATGAAAATTGAGGGGAATTAATACCACAGTCTATGTATTATCAGGAGTAAAGAGTTTTAGACACTAAAGATGCTCGTCTCCTGAAATGGTTTACATCCAAAGTCCCATGGGAGCTATAAATTTCGGGGCAGTACCAGAAAGTCGGATTATATTATAAAGGATAGGTTCCGAAGAATAGAAATAACCCTCAATAAAAGGAGTTTTTTGAAATCTTGTACTTTTTCTCAATAAAAGTTGTGTATTTTCAACACAGTATTTTATATCTTATACTAGCTGGTATACCCGTTTTTGAAAAAAATAAAACTATAGAGATTCATGAAAAAATAATTTTTTTTATGTATTAAATTTATGTGAATTGCAAATTAAGTAATAAAATGGTTTTTAGCGTGTCTTTGTTCAACCAAAAATCGGATTTGCAAAACTTGAAATCTATAGGTCTAATAGTTGAGAAAAGTGTCTTTTTTTTGTTTTTGTTTATCTGTTATACCCATGTAGGTTGACTTTTGAAAACCCCTTTCTTGTCAGATCTCTACTCAACAAAAGTTATAGATTTTCTAAATGTCAAGATTATAGGTTTAGTTATTCATGTAAGGTTTTTTTTATATATATAAAACGCCCTAGCAACCCCTATTAGAGGTCAAAATTTTAAAAGCCTTCTCTTAGAAGATCTCTACTCCATGAAAGAAACATGCTAGCTTAATTTCAAGTCTAGGTTTAGTAGTTCGATAAAACGTAATTCTCTTTTATCTATAACACCTCTTCAAACCTTTGCGACCTCCTTGGGTTTCAATTTTCGTAAAAGCATCTTCTGTAACGTTTTTCTTCTCCTTGAAATGAATATACACAAGCCAAATTTCAAATCTTCAGCTAAGAAAACATGAATATTTATCTATAAAGGTACTTAACCTTTTGCTTCAGGGTCGATTTTGGCGAATCCCTTTCTTAGCGGATCCATGAAAGTAACATGCCGACCAAATTTCTAGTCTGACTGTCTAATAGTTCAGAAACGGGAATATTTATCTCTAACGACCCATTAACATCTTGCAACTCCCTTTGTGGATTTATTTTTGAAAAACACCTTTTTGATAGCGGATCACTACTCTATGAAATGAACATGCCAGGAAGATTTCAAGTCTGTAGGTCATATAGTTCAAAACCGGGAATATTTTTCGAGAACGGCATTCGCCCTTCGCAACCACCCTTGGCTGTTGATTTTCATAAAGCCATTTATTAGTGGGTCTTTATTTTATGAAATAAACCTGCTACCAAAATTTCAAATATCCGTCAGTTTAATAATTGAAAAACGGGAATATTTATCCTCAACGTCAATCAAGCTTTTGCACCCCCTCCCCCCACCCCGGGGGTCGATTTTCGCAATATCCGTTCTTAGAGGAAATCCATTCCGTAAAACGAATAGGCCTATCAAATCTTCTTTTTAAATTTCAATGCTGTTCGTCTAACAGTTTAAAAGTGGCATTAATTATCCCTCATCCCCCGAAACGTAATTTGGGCAGCTATTGGAACATACTTTTACTAACTCAAAATCCTTCGCGGTCAAAAACCAACCGTTAACCAAAGTACTATGGCAATCGGATGAACAGTTTAGGAATGCATAACAGACATGCAGGCACACACCCACGCAAACATTCATTTTTATTTATATAGATTGCATACACCTCTTAAAAATATGTGATTACTTTTATTTAACCCTTTATCTACCGCGTTATAATTTACTGCAAATTTTTTCATACAATTTTTTTTGAATCACTGCATTTAAAAAAATTAGGGATATACTTAAAAAAATACTCAACTTTGTAAAATTTAATTCGTTAGAGCTAATTAATTAAATTGGTACTTCAAAGTACCGTCAGTCCACAAAGGTCTCAAATATTCTCATAATACGAAAAGACCGAATGACTTTTTTAACGCAGTTTTTACTCTTAAAAATGCTAATTAACCAGAGATCACTAATATTTAACAGCACAAAATATTTATTTTTGAAGATTACTAAATTTTTAAAATTCATTTACTTTTTTTACACATAAACTTAATTTAATGATAATTTATAAAAACAGTTTTTTTATTAATGCACAGATATTTATTACACGTTGTGCATTTTGAGTGAGGCTTCGTTTGAATATTTTTTAAAGTACAGCATCCTAGGGAAATATATGCTGTATTTTCTTAGCATGAACTATTGCACCTTGAGTTCAGTCTCTTGATCGCCATCCTAAGAATGTAATAAAAATTACAGCAGATAATTTGCTGGAATTTCTTCACCTGAAAAATCATCTGTTAGTACATCATTGATTTAAGATAGTAAGTTCTGTAATAGATCCAAAGCCTCTTGAAGGCAGAGTTTCTTTTTTCAGACATTCTAAGAAAAGTAAATAATAATAATAATAGCAACTCTTGAAAATCTCCTATTATTGTTAAATCTCAGTTCACATAAAAAATGAAAATGTTGTTGATTTTTGAAATAAGAATAGATATTTCATTTAATTGTGTGGAGAAAAAAAAAAAAAAAGGTCAGATTTAAAGTTTAAACTTTTTGAAAACGTTACAATAAAACAATAAAAACGTAAAACAATCAGTTAAGCTAAAAGAAATGCCGAAAAAATCATGTCTATTGCACTATAGTGATGAATACAACACAAAAACAACAATAAGCCACACGGACGGGAAAAAAATCCTTAGGTTCTTGCCTCAACACCCAGTGTGCTTTTGATACTTAAGTAATACAAGTTATTCAACTGTAAAATTAATAATATACATTGTTCTCTTAAAATAAATAGTCAAATCGTTTACTAAGATCTTACTTAACATTAAAAAAATAAGACACTTATACCTATTGACATTAAGTACTTTTTCGGAACAAAAATGACAATCTTCGCAATCCGATCAAAATTCCAGCTGAAAACGCTACTTCTGTGCTATAAAACTATATATTCGCCTTCCCCGCTAAAATACTCACCATAGAGCTCGTGCCGCCACATATCTTAAAAGAATGGATTCAAAAGAATATTCCTGCGAAGTACCATCAGAGTATTCATAAAAATTGGTTATTCAATGCAGCTTTAAATTTAGTGGTACTTATAATTACGTTGCTAAATAAAAGGTCAATACAACTTAATGTAACTAAATACGGCCAATTTTTTCAAATCAAGACACGTCGCCAAATAATGCAATATGCAGCCAATAGTGGAAACCTTTCCCTCTTATGTGAACACAATGATAGTACTTGGCGATATTTTGTTAGTTTGCGATGTCTTTTGATTTGGCAAAATTGGTTGATGGTATAGTACGTAAGTACTTTAAATATTTATAAATATAAGAAACAAATTTAACTATAGTGAAAACCAGTTAGAATAAGGGTCGAGATTTGAACATTCTTATTTTACTATATGCATTTACAGCACACACAATTATGCTTTTGCAATAAGTTATAAAATGCACCGAACAATTTTTTGCAAAAGTAAAATACATGGCATGGATAATTAGAGCATAATATATATCAATATATATATAAAAGCAAATTGATTTTTAAAAAAAATATTTTATAAAATTGCATTAGCATAAATTAGAAAACAAGTGTCATTTCAAATCTGAAGAATGCTGAGAATAAAAACAAAATTGTGATTAAACTCAATAAAACAAACGTGTTGAGAAAGGTATTGACGCCATATTGCAGTATTGCATTTTATCTCTCTTATGCATATTTTTAATAAAATTAAAAACAAAGGAGATATATAAAAATATTTTTAGGGGAAATAAAGTATGTTTTTCGTAAATACAACACTGATTAATTTGTATATAATACATGAAAAACATCTTTTAATATATAAAAAAAGGTAAATATTAATTTTATTTTTTTAGCTTTAAAAATGAAGTACTCCTTTGTTTTACTTCAAAAATAAGGGCAGTACGGAGAAGAACACTTCAAGTACTACAATTTATTTGTTTAATAAATCCTCATAATAAAATCAAAGGTCTTACGATTATTTAAAAAGAAGACAAGTAATTATGCAGTTTATTGTTTAATTTCCTACACATTTTTGTTAAATTTAATTTTTTATAAATTTATTCATTGAAAATATGTTATAAAAATTAATTTGACACTTAAACTAGCTAGGATTTATTAGCTAACATTGTACGTTTCAAATAAATTCTGAAAGCTTAAGAACAATGCTACCTTCCCTAAAATAAACCAACTCAAACACCCCGATATCTCTTTTTTGAATTAGTATAGTACATAATTAAAAATTTCAGATAAAGTACACGCTCTTGAAAATACGTATGAAAAAGATAAATTACTGATAAAAAGCATAACAAGTAATGCAAAAAGAAAAAAAATTTTAAGTCAATTCGACTTGGGTCAACAAATAACAATTTTATTTTAGTTACATTTATTAAATACTTACAAAAAATTAATATAAATATGTATATACATATGACAGAATCACGATATTAAGTGACGAAATAGAAGGCGATTTTCCTTGATATTTTCCATTTTCCTTTCTATTTATGGTGTTGAACTTTTTTTTTGTGTTTGTTACTATTTATTCATTAATTAAATATAATTATTCTAATAAATTAGTAGAGTAAAAAAGAAATCCCATTCTCAGAGATAGGCCATCCCAGGTGGGAATTGAACCCAAGATCTTTGAATCAGATGTCCAAAGCGTGGTCCACTGCACTACAGGGACACATCAAACGATTTTTCTTTCTATGTATGTTGTTAGATTATTATTTTCTTTGTTACTATTTATTCATTTTTTAATTTTATTAATGAATTAACATTTGAAAAAACTGTTTTAACATCAAGTGTCATCCACCACAAGTTTAAAAAAATGCATTTGACTTGAATGGATGAATGAAAGTATTTTATTAACGATTGAAAATTTGAACAAGATATACATAAATAGAGAGAGTAGGAACTAATAGTAGGAATTGAAAAGTATTAATAAAGAACAACTAAATCATATAATATCTGAAATCCTTTTAAAAAATTCAGATTTTTTAAAATCCGAAATACAAATATTATTCATATTTTCATACGGTGAATATACAAACACACACTAGGTAAGTAGTCATAGCCATGAAGTCGTGATAGGCGTTTTCTAGTCGTATGTTTTAGTTCAGGTAACACAAAAGACCCACTGTGTTGAGGGGCTAGTGCAAGTTAAATTTCTTAAGGTTCGAAATCCTTTTATCATCATTAAATTAAATTAAGTAATTTTTAAAAAAAATAGGGGCAGTAAATTTTTAATTGCTTGTTTTGAAGTTTTGACTTTAAAAAAGTCAATTCAAAGTAATGTAAATAATGTATTAAAACTGGCGCCACGTACACCTCCGCATTGGGGGGGGGGCAAGGTACCCAAAACCTGACTTTGCGGAGGGGGGGGGGCAAATGTTCTCCGTTACGCTACTGGTATTAAAACATTGTTTTACACAGAAAAGAAAGTAGTAGGCTTCTCAATATAAGTTAGGCAACTCAATATAAGTTAGGCTTCGAAAAAAACTATCAAAACATTAAACATTACGTAATACTAACGTTAATGGTCATACAAGGTGATGAGGTGATATAATCCTTTTTTTTAATAATTATTTTTATTTTAAACGATAAAAATCGTAATTCCTGTGAATAATTTAACTAAGAGAAAGTATACTTATCTACTTTCAAGGACTTTTCATTTCTTTGGTAATTTGAAAAAAAAATCCATTCAAAGTGAACTAAAATATTTGGAATGTGCATGACTTGAATAAAAAACACAAATCACAGGCTTCTTTTGCTAACATTACAGGAATGACATTTGCAGATAAACCTCTCTGTCATATTTTGTTCAAGTTATTATAATTTTATCGTCTTTTAATGATCAAAAAGTAGCATGTCGAACGTTTTCTTGCTCGCGAAGAAAACATTTCTGGCTACACATCTTTTTTGATGGAATAGCATTTGAAAATCTTTCTTTCAACATAAAGGTTTCAAGTTCATCCTTTTTCTCAAATTTACTTTCGCTATCATGACTAATATCCACTATATCATGAGCTTCATTCCTTGCTTGATCAATTTCTTTTTCCGAAGTTTTAATTTCATCTAATAGATATCGCAGATGCGCATTTCATTTCTTTTATATTCTGTTCATTTACATTTATAAGTCATAAGAATTCGTACAAAACAACAATCAAAACTATTAAGTCATTCATAAGGAAAACATGTAGCCTTTCATAGAAATATTTTAGAACAAAAGTGGTCGCCCGTAGAACTCAGACACTCCAAATACCTAATATTGTAAAAAAACGTTTGCCACTTAGCCAAAAGAGAGAGAGAGAGATGCGACAAATATACATTTTAGTTCACATGAAGACTGCCATATAAGAGAATGCTATCAAGGTCTTTGGTTACAAACAGTTTTTCCAGAATTAAAAATGTTTTGAGCCTAGTATGACTCTGTGCATCCCACGTGATCTCTCCAAGGTTAATCTTAATGTTGGCCAGAAGAACACAAGCGCTAGATCAAGGGTGTCAAACTCGCTGCCCGCTGGCCGCATGTGGCCTGCAACGAACATTTTTGCGGCCTGGCCAATATATCGGCACACAATAGTAAATAATAAAATTATAAACTGAAGCAAATAAAAATGTTATAAATAGAATTCGATGAAAGTTTTTTAATTACAATTTTTTTGGCTATTTTTAAACAAAATGCGGACATTTATTTTGAATATACCACGATTAGGTAAATACGGTACTTACATTTCTATGAAAATTGACATTTGGCTGCCCACCTGAAGTTAAATTTTGTTTTTAAGTTAGCCTTTGAATTTGACACCCCCTTGAGCTAGATGTTTAAAATTCATAATCCCTCCCTCAAAACACAGAGGACAGTCAGGAGTTTAATTTAAAACCGTTTTGTTGTAGGTGCCCTTAAAGGTAGTCGAATCTGGTTAAAATACAAAAACTAGCAGATAAAAGAGAATGAGTGCTCATTAAAGGTACACTATGAGGACTTTTGGCGACCGACCTCCTAATTTTAAATATCGGTCAAGTGACAAAGACGACACCTGAACGAGCATCCCCTCTTCAAACTACCACGCCCCACAAACAGGAATTTAAACCTCGATAGGTTTAACGTACACTGCGGATCTTCAGTGGCGCGAGGGCTCAAACTTATGTCATGAACTCATGGCAGGAGTTTCGGAATATCTACCCTAACGAGATAGAATGCAGCTACTTGTAATCAGCGGATTTCAGGATAACATTTTATATACATAAAAAATTTCTTTATAAGGTTTTACTTTAACTTAAAGAATATGATAATGCCACACTTAAAAATCTAAATTTCGTAGGTTTGTACAGAATGATATTAATATTTCCTTTTATAAACATCCTTTAATCCCCGAATATAATACAAGAAGCACGTAATCTTAAACACCTAATATTCCACACAAAAGCATATAACACATATAATATAAAAAATCTACAATAGAACTTTAGGAAATTGAAATTATATAATATAGTTTAAATCCCACTTTATCTTCGAGCAAAGTATTCTAAAATAGTTTGTTAATTCGATGGAGATGTTTTTGAAATACAAAAATATACATTAATAGTAAGTAAAAAAATAGCTCTTTGTAAAAATGCTTTCTATGATAAAAGAATCTCAGAACACATTTTCTCACACATGCGTAATTTTATATTCACTAAAAGTAACACAAAAATTTATTTTTACATTTTTCTTAAAAAATATTAGTATGTGAAAAATTGCATTACGATCTTTATATACGGGTATTTTTGCAGAGAAAGAAAAGATCGATATAAGAAAAAGAGACTTTGATTAGGAATATTTTCTTCCTTATATGAAATTTGCTATCTTAATTCAGCATTACTTTATATAAGTGAAAAAAATTAATTTGATTCTGTCGCTTCAACAGAATTCTTATAAAACAGAAAAATTAATGTATCAGACTTCAAAAGCAGAATTTACTTTGCAGAATTTGTGCAATACTCTTTGAAGTATGCAACGTGTCAACTTTTTTACAAATTTTATTTCTTAAGGGGAAGAATTTTAGAAAATAGCTTTAAAAAAATTTTAACTTAAGAATTTTAACTAATTAAAAAGTGCCGATAAAAAGTCCAAAAGCTAAAGATTGCTGAAATGTGATCTCGGTGGTGGACGGAGTGTGGCCTAGCATATCCGAAGTTCAGTGGAAGTGAAACAATGTAGGAGAAAAAAGGTAGGAAAGTCGAGTGCTTGAGAGCAAGCGACCTGATTGGCCATAAAAGTTCTCTTCAAGAAGATTGAAGAATTCGAATGCCCTGCTAGAATATAGAAGCATCGTTTTTTAATGAGAATAATCCGTGTAGGCATACTTTACAATTTACAATAAGAATTCAAAGTACCTGCTTCTCTAAGTATTCTTTTTTATATTCGTGTCTATATATTAAAAAAAACAGAAATATTTAATTTGGAAGATAAAATTACCAGAAAGTAATTAATGGCAAGAAAAAGTAATCTAGTGGGAGATTTTATTTCTGTTCAATAAAATGATATAGCTTACTTTTATGTGAGCACATAATTAAATAATAAATTTAATAACATTCGTAATTTTATACATGGAACATGAGCAATTAATTAAAGACTTTATTTCAGTATAATTATAACAACCATAACAAACTTAGTAAAAAAAATATGATTTTCGTGACCTCTGTAAATTAAGCTACTATATCGCATGAAACTACTTAAATGTGATATGCACTTAAATGTGTGCACTTTAATGTGATATTTAACTCAAAGGGCTATATTGGTTTGATTTATATATTAATTCCGATCGTAGATATATATAAAATTTCAGACATATTTATAACTTTTTGAGAGTTAAAAATTTTGCCTTTCTTCAAATATTTGAAATTTCGATTGTAAATTAAATGAATGCATTTTTTTAAACATTTATGATCACATATGAAAATAGAGTTCGTAATTTGATATAAGGATTTTTTAATTTAATGTTTAATGAAGAGTAAGAAAATAATGAACTTTGGCAGTACCTTTTATTGAAAATCTTGTAATTACGTAAAATTTTATTTAAACTTTAATTTTTAATTAGTTCCAAGAAATTTATTTTACTATTAAGATAATTTTGCTTCCAAGTGCTAGATTTCTTATCGTAGAATTTCCAGATTTGAAAAATTTCTCGAAAGATTTTTAATTATGAAAAGTAAAAGTGTAACGCAATGAGTTAAATTATTATAGCATGATTATTAAATTTAGTGCAGTATAATATGACTAATACATGTGCAAAAAAAATGAGAAAGAGTTAATTTACACACACATTACAAAAATTTAAATAATGTAGTTTAGTATAGTACTTTTTTAATAATTCAAATGTTCCAAATTTACGAAAAAAAATTAAAACTTCAGCATTCATTCTTCAGAGCAGAGTTATTTTTAATGTGCTATAGTTTTATATAAATCAGTTACATAAAATGTAAGAATTAATGCTTATAATGAATTCTGAAAAAATACTCATCCTAAATCGTACAAATTCCTCATATAAATCTTTATTTGATGTGCAGATATTTTCCAAATGTAAAAACTTATTAATGGATTTATATTTAATTAAGAAATTGAATTTACAGTCGACTCTCTGTAATTAGAAATTGAAGAGACCAATGAAAAACTTCGAATTATCTAGTGTTCGAATTATC